CAATATAGTTAGCATATAGTGTTATATTAGTTTCAGATGTACAATAAAGTGTTTTAACAACTCCATACATTATTCAGTGACTCTTATCCCCTTCATGTATTCCACCCATCTCCCCCCCCCCCCCCCTTCTGGTAATCATCTGTTTGTTCTCTGTAGTTAAGAGTCTGTTTCTTGATTTGTCTCTTTTTTCTTTGTTCATTTGTTTCTTAAATTCCACATATAAGTGAAATCATGGCATTTGTCTTTTTCTGACTGACTTATTTCAGAGTATTGTACTCTTTTTTTTTTAAGTTTATTTATTTTGAGAGAGACAGAGACAATACGAGCAGGGGAAAGACAGAGAAACAGAGAGGGAGAGAATCCCAAGCAGGTTCCCCACTCACAGTGCAGAGCCTGATGCAGGGCTTGATCCCACAAACCATGAGATCCTGACCTGAACCAAAACCGAGAGTTGGATACTTAACCAACTAAGCCACTGAGGTACCCCTGTACCCCACCTTTTTTAAATCAAACAATATGCAGGATTTTTTTTTTTTTTTAAAGATAATGGCTAGTTTTATTATTCTGATGTCATCTATCCTTCACACAGTAGTTACACTGGTGTCAGGCATGATTTTTTTTAATTGTGGGAAAATATACATAACATAAAATGTACTTACCACCTTAACCATTTCGTAGTGTACAGTTCAGTAGTGTCAAGTACATTCACATTGTTATGTAATCTCCAGGACTCTTTTCATCTTGCAAAACTGAAACTCCTGTGAGGCAGTCCCTCTGTTTTCCCTCTCCTCTCAGCCCCTTGCAGCTACCCTTCTACTTTCTATGAATTTGAGACTACTTTAGAGACTTCATCTAAGTGGAATCATACAGTATTTGTCCTTTTTAACTACCTTATTTCCCTTAGCAGAGTATCTTCAAGTTCATCTATGTGGTAGCATGTGTCGGAATTTCTTTTCTTCTTTAACCTTTATTAAGGTATAATTGACAAATAGAGGGGAGAGCATAGTTTTCCCATGTACCCCCCCTCTCATCCCCACACTGGCCCAGCCTCCAGTACCAACACCCCCCATAGCAGAGTGGTGCATTTGTTCTAATAGATCAGCCTACATGGACATACTATTATCATCCTGTAATTCACATTATGGCTTGCTCTTTGTGTTTTACATTTTATGGGTTTGGATAAATGCTTGATGACATACTTTCTACCATTATGGTATCACACACAGTAGTTTTTTCCCCCTATAATATTTGTGCTTCACCTGTTGATTCTTACCCTCATCCCTGGCAACCACTGATTCTTTTACTGTCTTCATAGTTTTGCCTTTTCCAGACCCTTCGTCCAGTTGCAATCATACACTATGTAGCCTTTTAACATTGACTTCTTTCACTTAGCTGTGCATTTAAGGTTCCTCCATGTCTTTTCATAGCTTAATAACCCATATCTTTGTAGTGCTGAATAATATCCCATTATCTGAATATTCCACAGTTAGTTTATCCATTCACCTGTTGGAGGATATTTCAGTTACTTCCCAGGTGTAGCAGTTAGGAATATGCTATGACATCTCTTTACAGGTTTTTTTCGTGAACATAAGTTTTTAACTTCTTAGGTAAATACCAAAGAGCACAATTACTGGATTGTGTGGTAAGAAAATATTTAGTTTTGTAATAAACTTCCAAACCACCTCCCAAAGTATCTGTACCATTTTGCATTTCCACTATTAATAAATGAGAATTCCTGTTGCTTCCCATCCTAACAAGCATTTGGTAGTATTGGTAATTTGGATTTTAGTCATTCCAGTAGATGTATGGTATTATCTCGTTTTAATTTGCAGTTCCCTAATGACATGATTGAACATCTTTTCACGTGCTTATCTGCTATCTGTATAACTTTTTGGTGAGGTGTCCAGGTCTTTTGCCATTTTTTAATCAGATGGTTCATTTTCTCATGGTTTAAAGAGTTCTTTGTACATTTTGGAAAATAGTCCTTTATCCGATGACTTTTACAAATATCTTCTCCCAGTCTGTGACTCGTCTTCTCATTATCTTCATAGAAGGCACTTTCCATAGAGCAGAAATTTTTAATGATGTCTGGCTTCTCAATTATTTCTTTCATGGATCAAGCACTTGATGTTGTCTCTAAAAAGACATCACCAGAGCAAAGGTTATCTAAATTCTCTCCTATGTTATCTTCTAGGAGTCTTATAGTTTTGCATGTTACATTTAGGTCTGTGATCCATTTTGAGTTCATTTTTGGAAGGGTGTAAAGTTTGTCCAGATTCAGTTTTGACATGTGATGCCCATTTGTTCTAGCACCGTTTGTTGAGGAGACTCTTTTTGGCTCCATTATATTGCCTTTGCCTCAGTCAAAGATCAGCAGACTGTATTTATGGGGATCAATTTCTGGTCTCTCTATTCTGTTGATTTGTTTGTTCTTTCACCAATTCCACACTGTTGATTACTGTAGCTTTATAATAAGTCTTGAAGCAGATTATCATGAGTCTTCCATATAAACGTTAGAGTCAGTTTATTGATATCCATCAGATAATTTGCTGGGATTTCAGTTAGGATTGCATTGAATCCGTGGATGAATTTAGGACCTCTTGACAATATTGAGTCTTCCTATCCATGAACATGGAATCTGTTTTCTATTATTTAGTTCTTCTTTGATTTCCTTCATCAGAGTTTTATAGTTTTCCTCAAATGGATCTTGTCCATATTTTGTTAGATTTATACCTAAGTATTCTGTTTTTTGTCTTTTGGGGTTTTCATTTGTTTGTTTGCCTGCTAGTGTAAATGGCATTGTGTTTTAAATTCAAATTCTATTTGTTTATTGCTGGAATATAGGAAAGCAATTGACTTTTGTATATGAACTTTGTATCCTGCAACGTTACTGTAATTACTGATTAGTTTCAGGAGGTTTTTTGCTTCTTTTGGATTTCCTGCATTAGACAATCATATCATCTTGAACAATCACATTTATTTTTCCTTCCCACTCAATAAACCGTTTATTTCTTTTCCTTGTCTTACTGGACTAGTCTAGGACTTTGAGTTCAATGTTGAAAAAGAGGGGTGAGAGGGAACATCCTTATTCCTGTTATTAGCAGGAAAGCTTCTAGTTTCTCAGCATTAAATATGATGCTGGCTGTAGATTTTTTATATATTTTAAGAGTTAAGGAAGTTCTTTCTCTTTTTAGTTTGCATTCCTTTTTGAAGGCTGAATACCATTCTAGTGTGTGTATGTGTGTATGTATGTATGTATGTATATACACACATATTTTGTTTATCCATTCATCCATCAGGGGATAGTTGGGTTGCTTCTATCTTTCTAGCTATTGTGAATAATTGTGCTGTGAAAATGGGTGTACAAATAGCTCTTTGAGACCCTGTGTTCAGTTCTTCTAGGTATATACCCAGAAGTGGAATTGCTGGATCATATGGTAATATTTTTCAGTTTATTGAGGATCCAGTATGCAAAATTTTATATGCATGGATATTCACTGCCCTGATGTGTATAATAGAAACATTTGGAAGCAGCCTTGCTATGCATCAGTAGGTGTTCGATTACATAATGATGGCACATCCATACAATGAAGTATGTACTGCAGCTGTTTAGAAAGATCTGTAAGTTTTGACATGTCAAAATGTCTAAATAGATTGTAATATGAAACAACAGACGATAAAATAATATATATAACATGAACCTGTTTTTATTTAAAATCATATATATATATATATATGTATGTATGTATGCTTCAAAAACATTTTTTTAAGGATAACACACTTCTGTAGGTTAAAAGGGAAGAGGGGACAGATTAAAATTGCCGTAGAAGTATAAACCTTTATCTTGTGACTGCATCATGGGGCGCCTGGGTAGCTGAGTCCATTGAGCATTGGACTCTTGATTTTGGCTCAGGTCATGATCTCACAGTTCATGAGATTGAGCCCCAAGTTGGGCCCTGTGCTGATAGTGCAGAGCCTGCTTGGGATTCTCTCCCTCTCTTTCCGTCCCCTGTTCTCTCTCTCTTTCTCTCTCTCTCAAAATAAATGAATAAACTTAAAGAAAATTACTACATCACATCAAGGTTTATAAGAAGCAATTTTATAAGCAGAAAAACCAATTTAAGTGATAGTATTTTTGGAAAAAATAAAGCTTAACTTCTGTTTGTCTGAAATACAAAGAAAATGTTTAAGTGTTCATTTACTTATTAAGTGGTTTTTCTTAAAGTTCATTTATTTATTTTGAGAGAGAAAGAGAGAGCAAATGGGAGAGGGGCAGAAAGAGAGGGAGAGAGAATCCCAAGCAGCTGTGTTATCAGCACAGAGCCCAATACACGGCTCAATTCCACAAACTGAACCACGAGATCATGACCTGAGCTGAAATCAACAGTTGGATGCTTTATCAAATGAGCCACCCACATGCCCCATGGGTGATTTTATGTCTACAATTTCTTTTTTTTAATTTTTTTAATTTTTTTTAAATTTATTTCTAGGAGAGAGAGAAAGAGACAGCATGAGCAGGGGAGGGTCAGAGAGAGAGGGAGTCACAGACTGAAACAGGCTCCAGGCTCTGAGCTGGCAGTCAGCACAGAGCCCGACGTGGGGCCCGAACCCACGAACCGTGAGATCATGACCTAAACGAAAGTCGGACGCTCAACCGACTAAGCCACCCAGGCGCCCCAATGTCTACAATTTCAAATGCAAGTCATTGAGATCTTTAAATATCTTTTTACTGTTATATGTAATATCAAGAGTACTTCCTATTTTGTGACCTGAGGCATAAAATTAGCACAATGAATTTCTGTCAAAATTGTTTTAAACAAGGAAAATGTTCTACCATTTTTAGGTTATATTTGAATGGTGCTTTCCATTTCCTATGACTTGGTGTAGTGAAGTAGGTAGTGAAATTGTAGGCTTCCTCTGCTCTTGAGGAAAATATTGCTAGTATAAGTGTTGTGTTACATTGCACCCTGAATTCTGTTCTTTGCCTTTGCTTCTGAAAGTAAATCTTCATGGAGGAACACGGAGTGACCCAAACTGAACACATGGCTACCATAGAAGCCCATGCAGTTGCCCAGCAAGTGCAGCAGGTCCATGTGGCCACCTACACTGAGCACAGTATGCTGAGTGCTGATGAGGACTCTCCCTCCTCTCCAGAGGACACTTCTTACGATGATTCAGACATCCTCAACTCCACGGCAGCTGATGAGGTCACAGCTCATCTGGCTGCTGCAGGTAATGTTGTTTAGATTGAATGCTCTTCACATGTTGCTTACCTTCAGTACTGTGCATGTCTGCGAGGGCCTAGGGTGCAGGTACTTTCACATACATCTTCATATTGTACCCACATGCTGTTTTTTTAAGCCTTGCATTTACAATTTGTGCCTGTATTATACTGAAACCAAAGCTCTAGAATCATATCCTATTAATGATATGACTTTGGTTTTGTTTTTTCATTCATTCCAACAATCTTTTGACTTTTTAACTAAAGCATTTAGTCCATTTACATTAAATGTAGTCACTATATTTAGATTTAAATGTATCATGTTTACTATATGCTTTCTCTTCATCCCGCTTACTCTTTGTTTATATTCCCTTCATGTTTTAGAGGGCCTGGAAAATTTTTAATTTTTTTTCTTGTTAGTTTGAAAGTTATACATACTTTTACAATTAGTGGTACCCCAGAAATGATAATACATCCTTAATTTATTTCAGAGTCTTCTGTAATTGGTACTTTTGTCCTCTTTAGGGATAATGCAATTTTCTTGGAACACTGGATTTTATTCCTCTGCCCCTGACCTGTATGCTGTTGTTGTTCTGTATATTAATTCTTTGTATATTTTAAGCCATACAAGACATTTTTTATACATAGTTAGTGTTCATTTTTTCCCTTTATATCCAAGTTGCCTCCTGAGAATTTTTCTTCTACTTAAAGATGCCATTTAGTATTTCCTTCATCATAGAAGTCTCTCAGTTTTCACTTCTCTGAGAATGTTCTTATTTAACCTTTAATCTCAAAGGATATTCTCACTGGGTATAGAATCCTAGGTAGGTACTTTCCCCTTCATATTGAAGACACTGTTCCCACTGTCCTGGTTTTCATCCTTGCTTTTCGGAATTCAACTGTTTCATTCTAACAGCTACTCCTTTGAAGGTTATCTCCGTCATAGGCCCTACCTCCAGCTGTTCTTAAGATCTTCTCTGTCTTCAGTTTTGTTTTGTTTTGTTTTCCCGGTGTTCAGTTTTTGTGATATATGTGGACTTCTCATTTAATTCTCTTTAGGATTCTTTGAACATCTTGAATCTGTGGATTGATGTCTTTCATCATTTCCAGAAAATCTTAGTCACGATTTTGCTTTGGTTTTGCTTTTGCTCCATTCTGTCTCTTCCTTCTCTGACTCCAGTGAAATATGTTTTCCTCATCAAGTCCTTTGTGTCTCTTACCTTCTATTCTGTATTGCTATCATTTTGTTTCTCTCTGCTTTGGTCTATGGAGTTTCTTCAGACTGTCTTCCAGTTTATTAATTTTCCTCTCCATCTAAGGTGCTTTTAAATCTGTCCACTGAGCTACTAATTTTAGTAATAGTTAATAGTTTTATTTATTTTTTTGTTTTAGAATTTCTAGTATGTTTTTTAGTTCCCAAATTTGTACTATTATTGTTTCTAGTTATAATAGGAAAAAAAGTCTTTTTACTTTCCATGAGTGAAGTAGCATCATGATTTTAAAGTAAATTTGGTAATTCTACTCTCTCAAGTGCCTGTGGGTCTTTTTCTGTTATATGTTGTTAGTGCTATTTCTTGTTTACATTGGTTTTCTCTTCATGTATTGGTTATATTTAAATGAATGCCGGATGGTATGTTTGAAAATTTATTTTTAGAAATAATTTGGAGTCTAGAATATTATTGTCCTCTAGAGAGGATTTTTGTTTGCTTCTGCCAGCTGCCCGAGGACAGTAGCAATCCTGGATTATCTTAATCCAGTTTAAGGTTTTGAGATTTTCTGGGCCACTAACTGACTTAAAGCTGGGCTATATTTTGTACCATTCTCTTTGCTATTTACATTGTATATTTAGCACTATGTAGAAGACTCCAGTGTAAGCCATACCTGGATGGATTTGATATTGTATAGGAACACTGATCTTAGAAGATATTTGGGGAAAGCTGAACAGTAAATCAATTATTGGGAATAGCCAACATATTTCATCTTTTTAATATTTGCTATGTTTAAAGGGAAGAAGACAAGTGTAATGAAAAAGAACCCAGTGACTCTCAGTTATCATCCACTGTGTATTTCTGGAATTGTGAATTTAAAATAAAATTTAGTGGCAGAACACATATAAAATGTTTGTAAAATATATTTTGAAATTTTTATACTTCCCAGAAGAGGGCATCCTAACATAATGAATCCAGGTCAACTTCTTTCCTAGGAAGGAAGATGCTTTTGAGACCTAGTTTTGCTGTATTATCATATGTACTGCATTGCCATAGTGCTAAAATTAGGAAAGGACTTTAATCTAACATTTTCATGTGGCAAATGTGGAAACTGAGGCCTAGCTAGTAGAAATGATTTACCATTTAACCATTCAACAATTACTGAGGAATTACTATATACTCTCTGTCACTATATATAGATACTACAAACAAGACAGGGAAAACCTTGCTCTTATAGTAGCTTACAGACCAGTGGTGGAGAGAAGGGTACAAATAATAAAGTAAAATAAAAAGCACTGAGTACTCTAGAGGAAATAATAGGGTAAGGTGAATGGAGAGGGTTACTGCTTTTTTTTTAAATTCTATTCTTTTCTCTCCCTCCACTGAGGTAACCACTATTCTAAATTTGATCTTTGTCATTCTCATGCATTTCTTTTATACTTCTGCTATATATGTATGTATCAATAAACAATACTTAGCATTGTTGGCATGTTTTAAATTTTATATAAATGATATCATTTCTTATCCTCTCTGTAACATTGTTTATTTTATTCGGTATTCTTTTTTTGAGATTTCATTCATACTGATGATGTCGCAGTTTTATTTTGACTGTTATTTGATATTCCATTGGTCATCTAAATATGTCATATATCATTATAACAGTTAAGTTGTTTATAAGTTTTTGCTATTACAATAACTCCAAATGAAAATCATTTTATGTTTTCTTGTATAAATTGTGAAGAATTTCTTTTGGCATTGGTTTTCAAACTCTGGACATTTCCCACACTGATACATTTTACCATGTGATCTAGGAGAAATGAATACACATATAACTGGAATAACAGTTTCTCGTGGCATAATACTTATCCCTCTGCAAGTGACACACCCTCTGATATGTTCTAGTATCTTTCACTTTATTCCATTTTATTTAAAAAACAAACAATTACTCATGAACCACCAAAGAACAGAAACTTGCAGTTTGAAAACAATGCTGAAGGGCATACCCACACAGAGAATTAGAGGGCAAAGATGGGCACATTTTCAAATTTACTAAATGTTTCAAATGTCTTTCCAGAACATTGTATGGACTTACATTCCCAAAAGCAATATGCTGGAGTGCCTCTCACTTCCAGTCCCTACCAGATTTCATATGGTCAATCGTTTTCTGTTTTTGCCAGTCGGATGAATATGAAATAACATCTCACTGTTGGTTAAATTTACTTATGTCTGAGCAAGAGGTTCCAGACAGTACAGGAAGACAAGTTAGAGCACCATTTCAGATCTTTATTCACTGTTCATTTTTCTTCTTTTGCACATTTCCTGTTTATGCCTTAGTCCATTTGGGTTATCATTTCTTTCTTACCGATTTGTCAGAGTTATTGATATATTTTTAATACTGTTCTTTTCTTAATAATATGTATTGCATTTATTATCTTCTCCCAATTTGTTGACCACTCCTTTCCCTAAGTTTTTATTATTTCTTTTTGTCCATAAAGGTTTTAATTTATATTATTATGAAATTTATTAGCTTCATCAGGTCATGATCTCACGGCTCATGGGTTTGAACCCCATGTCGGGCTCTGTGCTGACAGCCAGCTCAGAGCCTGGAGCCTGCTTCAGATTCTGTATCTCCCTCTCTCTCTGACCCTCCCCTGCTCATGCTGTCTCTCTTTCTCTCAGAAATAAATAAAACATTAAAAAAAATTTTAACGGTTTTTGCTATGTTGGGTTTAAAAATTTTGTTTTCTAATGTTTATCTTTTTTTTTTTTTTTTGAAAGAGAGAGAGAACACAAGCGGGGGAGGAGCAGAGAGAGGGGGAGACACAGAATGTGAAGAGTATCTAGACTCAGAGCTGTCAGCACAGAGCCCAGTGCAGGGCTTTTACTGTGAGATCATGGCTTGAGCCAAAATCAAGAGTCAGACACTCAACTGACTGAGCCACACAGGTGCCCTTGTCCCAGTACTATTTTTTTTTTTTTTTAATTTTAAAAAATGTTTGTTTATTTTTGAGAGAGGGACAGCATGCAAGAAGGGGAGGGGCAGAGAGAGGGCGAAACAGAATCTAAAGCAGGCTCCAGGCTCTGAGCTGTCAGCACAAATCCCGACGCGGGGCTCAAGCCCATGAACTGTGAGATTATGACCTGAGCTGAAGTCAGATGCTTAACCAACTGAGTCACCCATGTGCACTCCAGTACCATATTTTTAATAATTGATCTTTTTCCCACTTTGGTCTTCTGACACAAGAAGATGTTTGTGAACTCTTAATTCAGTTGCACTGGTGTGTCTATCCTTCAGGCAGTTCCACAGTGTCTTAATGACTATAGCTTTATAGTAACTACTGATATTTGGTAGGAGGACACCTTTTAAAATTCTTAAAAATTGTTTTGTGTTTAATGTTTTATTTATTTCTGAGAGAGAGACAGTATGAACAGGGGAGGGTCAGAGAGAAAGGGAGACACAAAAATCTGAAGCAGGCTCCAGGCTCTGAGCTAGCGGTCAGCACAGAGCCCGACGTGGGGCTTGAACCCACGAACCGTGAGATCATCACCTGAGCCAAAGTTGGATGCCCAACTGACTGAGCCACCCAGACACCCCTAAAATTCTTAAAATTCTTTTTATTTTATTTTATTTTACAAATAGTTTATTGTCAAATTAGTTTCCACATAACACCCAGTGCTCATCCCCACAAGTGCCCTCCTCCATGCCGATCCCTCCCTTCCCCCCACATCCATCAGTCCTCAGTTTTTGTCAGCATTCAAGAGTCTCTCATGGTTTGCCTCTCTCCCTATCCCCCACCATTTCCCCCCTTCTTCTCCCCTTTGTTCCTCAGTTAAGTCCCTCCTAATCCTCTTATACGTGCAAACATATGATATTTGTCCTTCTCTGCCTTATTTCACTCAGCATAACACCCTCAAGGTCCATCCATGTTGCTACACATGGCCAGATTTCACTGTTTCTCATTGCCATGTAGTATTCCATGGTATAGATAGACCACATCTTCTTGATCCATTCATCCGTGGATGGACACTTAGGCTCTTTCCATGTTTTAGCTATTGTTGAGAGTGCTGCTATGAACTAAAATTCTTAAAATTCTTAACAATTATTCTGGCGGTTCTTGACCTTTTGTGTTTCCATTTAAATTTTAAGATCAATTTCTCAATTTCCACAAAAACTTATACCAGGACTTTTATTTGAATTGTATTGAATTCATAAATTAATTAAGCATTTTTTTTAACATTTATTCATTTTTGGAGAGAGAGTGCGAGTAGGGGAGGGGCAGAGAGAAGGAGACACAGAATCTGAAGCAGGCTCCATGCTCTGAGCTGTCAGCACAGAGCCCTACACAAGGCTTGAACCCATGAGCGGTGAGATCACGACCTGAGCCGAAGTCGGATGCTTAACAGACAGCCATCTAGGTGCCAGCAGAGAGGCTTATTTTAGTTGAGCCACTTAGAACATATATAATACATATGCGAGTATAAATGTGATTAGTTAAATATAATTTTCATTTTAGTTTTTTACAGCGTTTACAAAAAAGAATAAAAGTGTTTAAAAAAGAAAAAAAAATGGAATGTCCTTGATATGTTGAGATTCCATGGATCAGAGACTCCAATAATTCCTTAGGGCCTACGCTTCATTTTAATAATTATTTTCACAGCAAGCGAGACCAACTTTTATTATTATGTTTCCCTTAGAATGGGATAGTTTTCATCTCTTTCCTGCCACCATCAATTTTTTTTGTGATCCACAACTCCATTTTAGGCACATTTCTCAGATATTTAAAAAAAAAATTCTGATTGAGATAATATTCTTCCCGATATTCCTCTTATGGGCGTTGTTGTTACTATTTGAGTCCCAAGTACAAGTGATTGTCTCTGACTTCTTTAACTTGGGGTCATGGAAAGAGGGGCACAGGGGATGGAAATAAAATTTGAATCTGTGATTTTGTTTTCTTTTGTCAAGCTCTTCTCAGTGCTGTAGTCTCATCTAGCGCCTCTGAGACTATTGCCTCCACAGGAAAGGCACGCTGGCAAAGCAAAACATGAAGTAAAACTGAGCTAGAGTATGGTGGGGAGGTGTTTCAGTCCATCCCCCTTTCAGAGTCATGGTACGTTTCATTGGTAAACGAAAATATGATCGTGTTGAACAGTAGTGAAGTATGTTGATCCTGTCAGGAACACTCTGTGTTGAGGGGATATGAGGAAATAAGTGCTGCCTTTTCTGTACCTGTTTTCTGTCTTGTACGGTTCACGGGCCTTGCCTGATCTCATGCACACGTTGTTATTTCAGGTCCTGTGGGAATGGCAGCGGCGGCTGCTGTAGCAACAGGAAAGAAGCGGAAACGGCCTCATGTGTTTGAGTCTAATCCATCTATCCGGAAGAGACAGCAAACACGTTTGCTTCGGTGAGGCCTCCCCTATCCATACCGTTGCTGGTCCTCAAGCACTTCATGGTGCAGGCGACAGAGATAGAACCTACGATACTAGGTGCATCGAGGATCCAAAGTTAGACCCCTCAATGGCAGAGTTAGACTTCAGAGTACTCCTGGGGAATTAGGTACATGAAACTAGAAATGATGAACCGATGTATAATATCACATCAGTGCCTTCAGAGAAAATTTTTAGGCCTGCTCTGTGCAGACATTGTTCTGGGCCTTGGGAATATCAGAGTGAGCAAAACAGCATCCCTTAAGGAGCTCTTAGTCTAGCGGCGGGAAAAGAAAAATGTCAAATGAAGATAAGTACTTTGGGAAAAAATGAAGTGGAGTAAGGAAAAGAGATTGGGGCTTGGGGAGATACAGAGGTCTGGGAAGTCCTCTTTGATAGGTAGACTTTGAACAGAGACCTGAAGTAAGTGAAAGGACATTGTTGTGTCTGGGGGAAGAGCTTTTCAGACAGAGGGAATAGCAAAAGCAAAGTTTCTGAAGTCGGATGGAACATGATCGTCTTGTTTGGGGAACAGCCAGGGAGAGAATAAGAGGAGACTGAGACAGAGTAGGAGTATATATGATAAGGGGTGCTGGGGTGGCTCAGTCGTTTGAGAGTCTAGCTCTTGATTTTGGCTCAGGTCATGATCTCAGGGTTATGTGATCAAACCCTGCATCAGCTCCGTGCTAGATGTGGAGGCTGCTTAAAATTTTCTCTCTCCCCCCCCACCCCCCTCACTTTCTATCTTAAAAAAAAAAAAAAAAAAGAAGAAGTAGTATGTCATGGGGTCTTTGGTTCAGTATAAGGGCTTTGACTCTTGTTCTGAGTGGAAGGGGCAATCAGTGAAAGCTTTTTTTTTTTAAGTTTATTTATTTATTTTGAGAGAGAGTGAGAGTGGAGAAGAGGCAGAGAAAGAGAGGGAAAGAGAGAAAATCCCAGTCAAGCCCCACACTGTCAACATGGAGCCCATTGTGGGGTTCAAGCCCACAAACTGTGAGATCATGGCTAAGGCAAAATCAAGTGGGACGCTTAACTGACTGAGCCACCCAGGTGCCCCAAGAAGTCAGTGAAGGCTTTTGACTAAAGCGGTGATATGGTCTGATTTATATTTTATTTTAATTATTTTAAATGTTTATTTATTTTGAGAGAGAGAGTGTGAGTAGAGAAAGAGCAGAGGGAGAGGGGGAAAGAGAGTATGGGAAAGGGGAGTGGTAGAGGGGTACAGGAAGAGAAAGAGAATCCCAAGCAGGCTCTGAGCTGTCAGTGCAGAACCCGACAAGGGGCTTGATCTCATAAACTGTGAGATCCCCTAATTTATATATATATATATATATTTTAATTTTTTACATTTATTTATTTTTAAGAGACAGAGTAAGCCAGAGAGTGAGTGGGGGAGGGGCAAAGAGAGAAGGAGACACAGAATCTGAAACAGGCTCCAGGCTCTGAGCAAGCATTCAGAACAGAACCTGATGCGGGGCTCGAACCCATGAACTGCGAGATCATGACCTAAGCCGAAGTCGGATGCTCAACTGACTGAACCACTAGGCGCCCCCCCCCCCAATTTATATTTTAAAAGGATCCCTCAGGCTGTGATGTTGAGAATAGAATTTAGGTGTTTGAGAAAGGAACCAGGGAGAGTAATTAGGAGGTTATTGTAATAATCCAGGACAGAAATTATAGTGTCTTAAAACTAATATAGCAACAGCAAAGGAAGTAATACATCAAGTCCTGAATGTATTTCGGAAGCCAACTCCAGCACGAATAATTAATGGGTTGGATGTGGGGTGTGAGAGCAAAAAAAAAAAAAAAGGAGTGAAGGGTGACCTCAAGACTTTTGGTCCGATTACTAGAAAGACTGAGATGACACTGGAAGAGGAACGTATAGGAAGAAGGGTAGGGAAGACTCAGGAATTTGGTTTTAGGCACAGGAGATTTGTGATACATCTTAAACATTAAGTGGAGGTACAGAAAAGTAGTTGATGCATGAGTCTGGAATTCAAAGGAGGGATCTCTGCTGAAGAAAGAAGCATGTAGGCAGTATCTAAGACTGTGAGACTGGAAGAGCTCACCTAGGGAGTGAGTGCAGACTGAGGCCTGAACTACCCGGTAGAGGCTGGAGAGTGGAAAGGAACGAACAGAGGAGTCCAAGAAGCTACCAGCAAATCCGAAGGAAAACTAAAAGAGCAGTATCCTGGAAACCAAGTGCAGAAAGAGTTTTAAGAAGGAAGGCATGTGATTGGCTGTGTCAAATGCTGCTGACAGGTTGAGCAAGATGCAAACTGACCATTAGATTTAGCGACATGGAGGTCATGATTGAAGTTGACAAGAGCTTTTTCAAAGGAGCGTAAGGATGAAAGAATTGGGAGTGTCTGCAAGAAAGAATGGGAAGAGAAGAATTGGAGACCGTGAATATAGACCATTCCTTTGTGAATATAGACCATTCCTTTAAGGAGTGCTGCCAAGTTTCTTGTTTGGTGTATGTTCCTTTGCTCATTTCTGTTTTCTCTGAAGAGTTTGTAGGTTGCAAAGAAAGATTACCACCCAAGCACGGTACACAGAGGACTTAATATTTTTGGTTGCACAACATCCATACATACTGGATTAGAAATTTCATCTACAAAATGTTCTAGATGGTTTTGTTCTTGTAGTATTTTAAATATTATATCCAAATTCTCTAGGTGTCTATTGGAATGTTGAATCCAAATGGAGGGCCAGCACATGTAAATGATATGTGATAAAAGCTAGAAAACACAGTTTATACTAAGGACAGAAGAAGAAGACTATAAGAAACTGACGGAAAAACCCAAAAAGTACTGAACAGTAGCTTTCAACAAACAAAGATTTTATATACCACTAGACAGGCAATTTTTCTCATTTCCTTTCATGATGGTAAAGGCAGGAGTAATTAGAATGTAGTCTATAGAGAAATATCTTTGCTATAAGGGACATAGACATGACAGTACATGCTTTTGGATAAAAATGGAAAACGAGATAGGCTCATTTTGTTTCACTTGAATTGCCATTACTCGCCAGTGCGTTGAAAGAATAGATTGTGTTCCCAGAAGAATTACGGAATGTAGAACTTTAAAATAATCTCCCGTGATTTCAATGGCAAAGGACAGCGTTTGTGTTTCATACAGTGTTGATATTTGAAAAAGCTCTTTTACTTCTTCCTCATTTGTAAAATACTGCAGGACCAAGAATTATTGTTTATCTGCAGTGAAAATCTGGAAATGACAACATTTTTGAAGTAGTACTTTTGGGTAAAATTATGTCAGTGGGAAATAAACAGTGACTAATCAAAGAAATTAGAAGCAGCTCATTTAAGCCCCTTTCATTAAGCATGAAGATGATATGGTAAGTCTAGAAGAAAACTTCTCAGCAGTAATCTTTATTATTATTATAAGTAGCAGTAAGAGAAAACCCCTTTGGTGTTGCTGAGATCAGGAAGAATTATACGCTCCATGTTCAACATTGTGTCATGTCTGTATCCTGAAGCAAACTTGTAGCTGACCAGTATGTCAGTGGGCTGTCGTTGGTCTTTAGGACAGAGGTATGCACATATTTTTAATGAGCAACCATTATAATATCCAACCTCACACTCCCCTTTTCACATTTCAGGTAAAAAAAAAAAACTGTATCAGAATAAATCGTCAGAGTAAGTTTTGTTTCCATGTCACTGTAATCTCTATCTTCTTTAACTGTTTTTAATCTTTTTTCACTCTCTAATTCAGGAAACTTCGAGCCACATTGGATGAATATACTACTCGAGTGGGACAACAAGCTATTGTCCTCTGTATCTCACCCTCCAAACCCAACCCTGTCTTTAAAGTGTTTGGTGCAGCACCTTTGGAGAATGTGGTAAGAAGACTCAGATGTGTTCTTAGATACTCTTTGCTTTCTGTGGGTGGTTGTTCATTCTTTTGATCCTCCGTCTAATACAATAGTTAGTACTCCTATCCTCCCCTCATCCAGGGGTGGGAGTGGGACTCGTTTTCAGGCTACTTTATGTAGATCAAAATAAAAAGGATTATTTCTGTTTTGTTTTGTTGTGTTTTAAAGTAATCTCTACACCCAACATGGGGCTCGAACTCACAACCTCAAGATCAAGAGTCACATGTTCCATCAGCTGAGCCAGCCAGGAGCCCCTATTTCTATTTCTATTTATTATAACAACATATTCTACCCTTTCAGACATTCTGTGTGATACATATGTTGCCATCTATCAGACGCAAGTGGGGAAATGTTATTATGTTTGTTAAGAAACCAATGCAGGTTTTGTAAGAAAATTACTGATGTATGTCAGAAACAAAGTGGGAGATAATTCCAAGATATAAACTTTGTGAGACAAATCTCAGGAAGCATTTTACTGATTGCCCTTATTTGAGTTGCATGTTTAAAATCTCTTGTGTTTCTTCAGAGAATCGATTTAGCATTCTGCTTCAATTTTGAAATAGAGTTGAGCATTTTGGTTGCCTAACTATCCATAGCTAATTTGATAAAGATAATATTTTACCCTTGCATACTTATGCTATGTGAACTGCTTTTCTCTGGCCAAAATAACTTTGAATGATGAGGAGAATAATGGTCATGCATTTAAATTGCATTTTGTTTTTATGAGGGTAACATTTATTAGCTAAAGGGATATTTATTAGATTTCTCCCATATCGAATATAGATATTTTGGGAGTTTATGACTGATTAGTAATCAGTTGAAATTTTGTTTATTGGTTGTTTTTTTTTTTCACGTACAAATGTTGTGGTTCCTTTTCAACATTTTTGAGTTTTCCCAAAAATTCCTGAGGCCCTAGAATGGGATGCATATTAGGACCTTTCCTTAGAAGAGTATAGTAGAAGGCTTCTACTTCAAAATGGCCCATGATAAGCACTCATAAGTGTCATGATGTTCACAAACATGAAATCTGGGCATGTCTTCTTTTCTTCAGTATTGAAAATTTTAAATAATTTTACTACTACTAATAGTAATGTGATCGATGAAAAAGACTCATCTAGGCAACTCTCTAGCTGACTCAATCAGTGGAGCGTGTGTGACTCTTGACCTCAGGATTGAAGTTTGAGCCCCATGTTGGGTGTAGAGATTACTTAAAATCTTTAAAAGAACATAAAAAAGACAGTTCTAGGAAACTGTTGGAGTCCTCCATAGCATATAAAAAGATATAGACTATGAAACAGAAACAAATCATGGTATAATACACTAGACTAAGATAAAAAGCAGTAGCTATTTTTTCATGACTGACATTTAATAAATACAAACTAAAGAATAAATACCAGTAGAAATAGAAGCAGCATATGTCTTCCAGAACACTAAAGAGGAAAAAAAAAAAAAAGCCAAGTCCTTGTAAAAGACAAAAAACAAAGGAATTAAAAAACAAAACAAAATATGTAGAACAAAGTAGTTTAAGTGAGGTCAACTAAGTCTGTTATAAATCATAAATATAAATGAGTTAACTTCCTTGAGAAAGATTTTCTTTCAGATGGAACAACAGTAATCCAAACCAAAACCCAACCCCATTTAATTTATATGATATACTTATATTGACCACTAATGTTCAAAGTGACTGTAAATGATACCATTAAGAAAGTGAAAAGACAGTTCACAGAATGGGAGAAAATATTTGCAAATTATGTATCTGATAAATAACTTGAATCCAGAATATATAAAGAACTTTCAGAATTCAACAATAAAAAGACAGCCCAATTTTAAAATGGCAAAGAATCTGTCACTGTTTGCAGATGACATAATACTGTACTTAGAATATCCTAAAAACTCCACCAAAAATCTATTAGAACTCATAAATGAATTCAGTAAAGTTGGATGCAAAATTAATATACAGAAATTTGATGCACTTTATACACTAATAACAAAGTAGCAGAAAAAGAAATGAAGAAAACAATTCCATTTACAGTTGCACCAAAAAGAATCAAATGCTTAGGAATAAACTTAACCAAGGAGGTGAAAGACCTGTACTCTGAAAAGTATACAACAATGATGAAGGAAATTGATGACAATGCAAACAAAAAGAAGATTTTTGTTCATGGATTGGAAAAATTAATATTGTTAAAATGTCCTTACTACCCAAAGTAATCTACAGATTCAATGCAATCCCAATCAAAATACCAATAGCATTTTTCGTAGAAGCAGAACAAAAATCCTGAAATTTGTGTGAATCCACAAAAGACCTCAAATAGCCAACGCAGTCTTGAAAAATAAGAACACAGGTGGAGGTATCACAATCCCAGATTTCATAATGTATTACAAAGCTTTAATAGTCAAAACAGTATGGTACTAGCACAAAAAATAGACACATAGATCAATGGAGAAGAATAGAAAGCCCAGAAATGAACTGACTGTTATATGGTCAATTAATCTATGACCATGGAGGCAAGAATATACAATGAAGGTATGAAAGTCTCTTCAAAAAATGGTGCTGAGAGGGGCTCCTGGGTGGCTTAGTCGGTTAAGCGTCCGACTTTCGCTTAGGTCATGATCTCGCAGTTCGTGGGTTCGAGCCCCGTGTCGGGCTCTGTGCTGACTGCCAGCTCAGAGCCTGGAGCCTGTTTCAGAGTCTGTAACTCCCTCTCTCTCTGACCCTCCCCTGCTCACGCTGTCTCTCTCTCTCTCTCCTAGAAATAAATAAAACATTAAAATAAATAAATAAAAGTTTTTAAAAAATGGTGCTGAGAACACTAGATAGCTACATGCAAAAGAATGAAACTAGACCATGTCTTACACCATTCACAAAAATAAACTCAAAATGAATTAAAGACCTAAATGTGAGACCTGGAATCTATAAAACTCTTAGAAGAAAACATGGGCAGTAATCTCTTGTACGTTGGCCTCAGCAAGATATTTATGGATGTGTCTCCTCAGGCAAGGGAAATAAAATAAAAGTAAATAAAAGTAAAAATAAATTATTAATACTACACCAAAATAAAAGGCTTTTTGCACAACAGAGGAAGCCATCAACATAATGAAAAGCCAACCTACTGAATGTGATTCAGAGGATACTTGTAAATGATATATTTGTTAAGGAGTTAATATTCCAAAATATATAACGAAGTTATATAACTCAACACCAAAAAAACCAAACAATCCAATTAAAAAAGGGGCAGAGGACCTGAAAAGACATTTTTCCAAAAAGAACTACAGGTAGCCAACAGATACATTAGAAGATGCTCAGCTTCATTCATCATCAAGGAAATGCAAATCAAAACCACAGTGAGGTATCACCTCATACCTGTCAGAATGGCTAGTATCAAAATGACAAGAAATAACAAGTGTTGGTCGGGATGTGGAAAAAAACAGAACACTTGTGCCCTGTTGGTAGAAATACACTTTGGTGCAGCCACTGTGGAATACAGTACGGAGATTTCTTAAAAAGTAAAAATAAAGGGGCACCTGGGTGGCTCAGTTGGTTAAGCATCCAACTTTGGCTCAGGTCGTCATCTCATGGTTCATGGCTTCAAGCTTTGCACTGGCAGTGTGGAGCCTGCTTGGGATTCTCTGCCCCTCCCCCACTTATTCTCTCACTCACTCACTCTCTCTCTCTCAAAAATAAATAAAACTTTAAAAAAAATTTTTTTTTAAATAGAAATACCAGGGGCACCTGGATGGCTCGCTCAACTCTTGTTTCAGCTCAGGTCATGAACTTACCATCTGTGGGTTCAAGCCCCACATCAGGCTCTGTGCTGACAGTGTGGGATTCTCTCTCTCTCCCTCTTTCTATGTCACTAAACTGCTCGCTCTCTCTGTCTCTCTCTCTCTCAAAATAAATAAATAAACTTAAAAAAAAATACTATACAATTCAGTAATTCCACTCCTGGGTATTTACAGAAGAACATGAAAACACTAAATCAAAAAGATATATGTACCCCTATGTTTACTGCAGCATTATTTATAGTTGCCAAGATATGGAAGCAACCTAAGTGTCCCATCATTGATAAATGGGTAAAGAAGAGGTACTGTATGTCTACAATGGAATATTACTCAGCCATAAAAAAGAATGAAATCTTGCCATTTGTGACAACAAATATGTACCTAGGGGGTATTATGCTAAGTGAAATAAATCAGACAGAGAAAGACAAGTATCATATGATTTCACTTATATGTGGACTCTAAAGAACAAAACAAACCAAGTGGAAACAGACTCTTAAATACAGAGAACAAATTGGTGATTGCCAGAAGGGAGTGGTGGGGGATGGGCAAATGGGTAAAGAGGAGTGGGAGGTACAAGTTTCCTATGGAATGAATAAGTCACGGGGATGAAAGGTACAGTATAGGGCATATATTCAGTGGAATCATAATAGCGTTGTATGGTGAAATAGCTACACTTGTGAGCATAACATAATATATAGAGTTGTCAAATCACTATGTTGTAATAGCTGAAACTAGCGTAAATTGCCTTTACGCTATACTAAAAGTTTTTTTAAAAATGGCAACAAACCTGAGTACATTTTTCTCCAAATAGATAGGTAGATAGATAGATAGATAGGGAAATGGCCAGCAAGTATATGAGCACTAATGATGAATAGTCATTAGGGAAATGAAAACCAAAACCAGAATTAGACACCACTTGACATTCACTAGGATTATTATAATCAAAAAGATGGACAACAATAAGTGTTGTTGAGAATATGCAGAAGTTGGAATCCTCCATACATTGCTACTGGGAATATAAAATGATATAGCTGCTTCAGAAAACAGTTTGGCAATTTCTTAAAATATTAAAAGAAAAGTTACCACATAACCCGGCAATTCTGCTCCTAGGTTTACCCAAGAGAACTGAAAACAAATCTTATACACACCGTGTCAATAGCAGCAAGACTTAACACATAAAACTT